TAGCACATTACAGAAATATATGCAGTTGTGAGGAAGAGTCACTCAACACCAGCACATTAGGAATTACTCCACCACTTCAGTGCGAGGCTAAAACCATCAGTGCCATGTGAGACAGAGAACATCACCCCACCCAGAGCAAACTCAAGACCTTTCTGAGTCTATCTGCCAGTTAGACCTGGCTTCTAATTTTGCAAAATACTCAGTGACTCAGTCACCTGTGACACTTCTGGTTACTGCTTGATTATGTGTAAAATGCAACCAATTATTGAGGCTGACTGGATTTAAGGAAGGTTATTCTTTTTTTTTTTATTTTTAACATTTATTTATTTTTGAGAGAAAGCTAGAGACAGAGCACGAGCAGGGGAGGGGCAGAGAGAGAAAGAGACACAGAATCCAAAGCAGGCTCCAGGCTCCGAGCTGTCAGCACAGAGCCCGACACAGACTCACAGAACGGGAGATCTCACAGACCGGGAAATCACGACCTGAGCTTAAGTCGGTGCTTAACTGATTGAGCCACCCAGGTGCCCCAAGGAGGGTTATTCTAATGAGAACACGAAACTTTGAGAGAAATTTTCAGGAAAATTGTTCACTGTCGTTAGGTACAAAAACAAAGCAAAGAAAGTGACATTCATTTGCCCATATTAACTAAAATATGGTCTCTGCCAGCAAAAAGCAGTTTTCGTTATTTCAAATTGGGGGGAGGAGAGGTTGTCAGTGATGGGGGAAAACAGAGATCAAATGAAGAAACAGACTAGAAAAAGTATATTAAAAAATTGTCTCCCATAAGACTTATTACATCGACATCATTAACTTAAAAAGCAATAATCTCTTATGGGCTTCTTTTGAAGAAAAATACATTTGAAATGATGCTGCATTACCCTTCTGTAATGTTATGAATCCCAGCTGGAGAAAGAATTCATACCACAGCACATCATGCCAGCCTGTATCGAAAAGCGGCTATTTCTTTAGTCTTTGAGAAGACTTCATTTTCATAAACAAATAAGGAAATGTAATCCATTGCTTCGTTTCCCAATCTGGATCCCCACCCCTTGCCCAGCAAAGTCAAGATTTTCTCCCTTATTTTTTTTCTTTTAGTCCAGAGGCAAAGGGATACAATTAAGCCCCTGATTTAGCCCAAGTGTATTTAATGATTTCAGTGTCTCACGATGGCCTCCCAGGCAGACAGGGACACACAAACCCATCTACCTTCACTGATTCACTCCAGCTGGTGCCAAGCACTCCATGTCCATGTAAAGACTCTAGGGGAAGATGCCAATAATGTCTATTTTATGTCCTAATTATGCAACCATGTCTCCCTTTGATGACTTGAAGGAAACACAAGTTTAAAGGAAGGGTATTTAACTGGAATGTACCTTAGAAAAATTCCAAAGCAGGGGGAAAAAAAAAAAACAACCTCAAGCAGGCTTGCACATAAAGGCAAAAACTCTCACGAGTCAGCAGCATTTCTCAAAACTGAGAGTCCACCCTCACGGGAAGCTACACAAGAAACAAAATGTGCACAAATCAGTACTTCCCCTCCTTACATCGCCAAGCACCTGCAAAGCTAAAAAAAGAATAATATCCAGTTCTCTTCTGAGACAGTACAGGCCTTTCCAGCAGATGCATTAAGTGAGATAAAAAACCTCATGGCTGAAGGGGGGAGAAAACATTGGGACCATTAAGAATGTATTTTCCAAACGATCAATGCCCCAAAGTTAAAAACTTTTCTTCAGAGTCAATAATACTTCAGCCCTGTGAACTGGGTTATCAATAATTTCCTTTACGCAAAACAAATTTCCAAACATTAACTAAGCACGTATGCTCCCCGGGTATAAAACACTAGCAGGCATGCAGACTCAGTCTGACTGACTGACTGGGGGGCTTGCCCCTCTAAGTTGTATCACCAGCCTCCGTCTCTGTCCCAAACTTGCCAGAGAGATGGGCTAATCTGGCCCATACATCCCATATCCTACCCCATCTGGTCTGCCCATTACAACTGCATTTCCACTTTTTTAAAATGTTTTTAAAATTTATTTCTGAGAGAGACAGCGTGAGCAGGGGAGGGTCAGAGAGAGAGGGAGACACAGAATCTGAAACAGGCTCCAGGCTCTGAGCTAGCTGTCAGCACAGAGCCCGAAGCGGGGCTTGAACCCACGAACCGTGAGAGCATGACCTGAGCCAAAGTCGGATGCTTAACTGACTGAGCCACCCAAGTGCCCCTGCATATCCATTTTTGATCCCCCTTGCCAATCGTAGCTCTCCCACCATGGCTCAACCTCCCCCTAATTTACACTGTCTGGATATTACTTCAATGAACTCCCACTACTCACTGACATCTTTTTGCTTTAACTTTGCTGTATCAGATACTGTATTAACTCAGACACCAGTCCACTGGTTGATACTTGGAAATGTTCGTTGCAGTGACATTTGTCACAATGTTTGATGTGGAATCCTGATTTAAGAAAATAATTATTTATTCATGTCTGGCTTTATTTCAGAAAGAATGTAAGGCTCCTAGCACAAATACATGCAATAAAGTTAACATTTACATTACGGAAATAGGAAAATTGGACAAAGGAGAAAAGAAGGTAGGAAAGTTCAGATGGAATTAGGAGAGAGGCCAGAATTTAAAGCTCAGCTTGTCAGGCCCATCACGCACATGCTGGATTAGAGTCTAAGCCTTTTAGCTCCCTAGAAGCCAACGGACAGAGAGAGACTCACACGTATCAGTGGCTGAAATATTATGGCTCATTTGGTCAAACCTGGTCCACTTTCTGTTTTGGTAAGTAAAGTTTTATTGGCACACGGCCACACCTACTCATTTACATATTATTTATGGTTGTTTTTGAGATACAGTGGCAGAGTTGAGTGGCTGCAACAGAGATCTGCAAAATCTGAGGTATTTACTATCTGACCCTTTACAGAAAAAGGTATGCAGATGACCAGGCTATATGATTCTGTGCACACAGATCAAAAGCATCGCAGTCTCCTAGGACAAGCACACTCTTTGCATGGTTCTGTAATGGCAGAGGACTTTCTACTTTGAAGCGCTCGCTATGTAATCTCATGAAAACATATCCTTTGCTTCATCTTCCACAGTAAACACAACAAAAGGTTTCGCAGGGTAGATGGCATGATGTCACAACACGCGTCAAACAATTCCACATGAGGCTGAAACAATGCAGGTCAGGAGAAATGGCCTCCTGCTCTGGCCAGCTACACGCAGCCCTCCCCACCTCCTTCCTTATCACAGGAAAACACAGCCAATGGCTCCAGGTGGCTTCCCCAGTGTCCTCCAAAGCCTTCTCTGAGTTCTCTGGCAGCCTCGGCCAGCCACCAGCGACTGGCTGGTGTCCGTACACAAGGTACACTGGTATGCCATCTTTGCTTTATGGCAGTTTTCCATTAACGCTCCCTCTCTGAGTCTCAGAAGCAGTGGGGTGGTGAGATGGAAGAAAAGCTCCTGAGCAGAGACATTCTGTTCTTCATTTAATGGCATGCAAGAGGATGCACTGGCCTGATGCCCTCCTGTGAGAACTAGGAGCTTGGCAAGGACGGCTATCTAAGGAGAAAACCCATGATGCCTGCACACGTGTTGGGCAGGTGAGCATCTGAGAGCAAGGGCTGGGGCTCCCCTCCAGAAAAGAGAGCATAGGATCTGTGGAGAGCATGGTCTCCACAGACCACAGGGTGCATGGGGCCAAGCAATGGCACTGGCATTTTGTCTGCAAACGCTTAAGCTCACTGCCCATGTTTGCTCAAAGAAACAAAGAGCCATCACCCAGACCCCCTGACCTTGAACACACATTTTCCTAAAGAAATTCTCCCTGCCAGAGGCAAGGGTTCCAAAAAATATATGCAAATGAAAACTGGGAACGGTGATTTCTACGAAAGTACAATTCAGTTCAGTGTTGGAAGAGGAAGACAGAACCTGCCCGCTGTGGATTTGGAAGGACACATCTGTCACCTTCCTCTATGCTCATTCCTCCTTTGTGACTATAAAACTATGTTATAAAGCAATTCTATTTCTATTCTCTACAATAGGGAGCAAAAATTCAGGTTACCCAGAAGTGTTACTGAGTCTAGTATGCAAATCTAAGAAAATCAGAACTACTGGGCATTGCCACTTGATGTGACTTCTACCCATGTTGTCAAAAGGAAAGACACAGGCAAAATATGTTATAAATCATTTTACATCATTTCTAACAGACCCTTCCACAATGTACTTAAAAAGTATAAAGCAAGGAAATAAGCAAAACATCAATGCCTAAAACCTTCCTCCTCCCTGTGAGTTTGCCGTGACTTTAGAAAAACATCAGCTACAAAGAGGTGAGCTATAAGTACACCTGACAAGGGAATTAATATAGCCAACGAACAGGACAGGTCAATGGAAGACATTTTTCTTTACCCTAAAAAGAGCAAATACTAACAAATGCTACCATTTGCTCTTCAAATACCAATGCCGAGGGTTCAAGTCCAGAATACATAAGGCCTCAAGTGGACATGGCAGAATGTGGAAAATTTGGACTCTACATAACCCTAGAGAAAAAAAAATAAGAAACACTCTCAAATTGCCAATCAGAATGCTGAGCCCAGACCAACTGGCAGTGGGACTCAGTATGCTGCTTCCAAACTAAGTACAGGGATGCCCAATTGTGCACTGGATTTGGAAATACACGGAATGTCAACACAGAAGATTCTGGAGGAAAGTAAAACCCCTCCATATCGGAAGCAGGCTGACCCCCCACTTCTCCAAGCAATTATGTGACCCTCCATGTCCTCTGATGAGCCCTGAGCCCAAGCTGGAAATCAGAACAGAGTGTTGGATGACATTGCCTGAGAAAATTTTTTCCGGAATGTTTGAGGCCACTGAAGTTTGTGCTTCCCAAAGACTGTCATCCCAAACCACCAGCACACAGGGCACCCTGCCCATAACCTCAAAGGCAGCAGCAATTACTGTTACTAATTTTTTCAAGACAGTTGTGAAGGCTCCTACTTACGTAATGCATACAAGGTAAGAATTATTCCAGCCAGGCAGAATCCTTCAAAGAACCTGAGTGTGCTGAACATTGTCACGTTCACCGATAGTGCCACGGTTAGTCCAAAGATCAGAATGAAGATGATGGAAAATAGCAGCACAGGCCGCCGGCCGACCCTGCACATGGAGAGGGAAAAAATTAGGAATCATCGTTAAAGAGGGTGAATGCTAGATGCTGAAACCCAGTATCCAACCGGTGCTCTACAAATGTTGATCTGTACTCACTAGATTAAAAGGCTTTGTAGTATCTACACCCAACTTGGTAGATTTAGGGGTAGAAGGGCCCTCAGAGGACATTCAGCCCAAACCCTTGTTTTGTAATTAAGGAGACAGAGGTCAAACAGCTACTGAACAGAATTGAGACAGGGACCTAATTCCTGCTGGCTAGTTTGTTTCTGAGTATACAGGGGGATGATTCAAGGCAAGAGTAACAGAATCAACAGCAACTCCCCAAACATAAACCTTGACACACCCAGCATAAAATGTGTTGAGAAATCGCTGACCTTTGGATTTGGCTCCAAAGTCAACATGGACACTGAGCCGAGTGGCTTCGTTTCCTTTCTTTGGGCTGTTAACTTGTGCTACCTGACCTCAGGTACATGCAGCCTATCAGAATCAGGGCCCTGATGGCTGCTGACTTGTTTCCAGTACACGATGAGAAATAGTTTTCAAGGGATCACAGGCTAAACTAAGACAGTTTGGACTTTAAATAAGGAGTGTGGACCTGAAAGGAGCCTACCAGGCAGCAAGGGGTGGAAGGAACCCAACCCACCATGGTTCTGGAAAGGGCAGCGCAAACACTAGGTTGGCGGGCTACAGAGGGGCTTCTGAGGGATCGGTGACCACTAGGGGGCGATGTGTTTCTAGGCGCGGTTGGCAGGACAGTAGGGGTGGTCCCAGGGAAAAGGAAGTCACCAGTGCTCTATCCTTCCAGTGCTACCTTTCCAACTTTTCCTTCAACTCATCAGGGAGGAAAAAAACCCAAACTCTCCATCACACAAATTAACATAAAAAAACCAGCCTGAACTAGAAGGCTAGCTCACAGAAAAACTGGAGTAGTGGATTACTTGCCAGGGGAAAATAAAATTTACACTGGGTATCCCAAACACCTAAAGAGTTGCGGAATGGCTTAAACTCGCCTAGACATCCTTGTGACCTCCTTACGACAAATTAAAACAGAAAGTAGATTCACGGTCTAGGGCTCAGGATGAGAATGGGGAAATGACTAGAAGTGAATGAAAGATTTCTGTTTAAGGTGCTGGAAATGCTTGACACTTAGAATGTGGTGATGGCTGTATAACTGTAAAGATACTAAAACTCACTGAGTTAAATACTTAACCTGGGTGAGCTTTATGGTATGTAAATTACCTCTCAATAAAGCTGTTAAGAAACAAGCAATACTTGGGGGCGCCTGGGTGGCTTAGTCGGTTAAGTGTCCGACTTTCGCTTAGGTCATGATCTCGCGGTTCGTGGGTTCGGGCCCCGCGTCGGGCTCTGTGCTGACTGCCAGCTCAGAGCCTGGAGCCTGTTTCAGTCTGTGACTCCCTCTCTCTCTGACCCTCCCCTGCTCATGCTCTCTCTCTCTCTCTCTCTCTCTCTCCTAGAAATAAATAAAACATTAAAAAAAAAAAAAGAAACAAGCAATACTCTGTAATGCATGTCCTTGTCCTATGAAAGAACTAGAAGTAATTTCAAGAAAATTTGGGGGGAGGGAACTACAGGACACAATTTCATTCATAATTTCTTAGGCTTCTAACCATTTCCATTAGTCATACTGGTTTAGTGAAATGAAGCCAAAGCCACGAATTCAATGCCAATGGAAGTCAACTATCTTGTCAGAGGTTTTTTAGCCATTACATCCCTTTGACTGGTGCTGGGGTCATTAAGCCCTTGTTACAAAAGACTCTATAGGTAGTTTTATCCAAATCCAATTCATTTCAAGAAATAAATTTAGAATACGGCTTAGTGGTCTCCTGAAATTAAGGAGAACAAAGATGAGATCTACCTTCTCCATTTTTATTTCCCTTTATTCCCCCTTGTCTGTAAAATGGGGATAAGTGTGACTTTACATCATCACAGAGATCACTAAGAGATGGCAGATGTAGGCACAATGGCTGGCAGAGAGCAAATAGTTAAATGTTTAGCTTGTGTGATTCCTTCCTACACATCTACATCCTGGATGCCCACAAACATGGTTTGCCCTGTTCCGATACTTTAGAAAAGATCCTAATTTTTTTTAACTTGTAGAAACTATTCCAAATCTCTCCCTCACAAATGGTTGCTAAAATCATGCAGTAAAAATTATTTTTAGGAACTCTGGGGCAAACATGGTCTTTGAAAGCAGACACCCTGGTCTTGAATCCAGGCTCACCACTTATAAACTATATGATCTTGGGAAAGACTAAGCTTATTCAAACGAGCCTTTGCTTTAGGAAGGACCAGTTAATGTCGACCTAATGGGGCTACTGTCAGGTGTGGATATGTGATTTAGTAAGCATTCGACAACTGTTACAATCGCTGGAGTTTTAGTGTGAGCTGGCTCTGTCCAGGGCAAGATCCCCTCAGAGATGTCTGACAAAACTACACTCCTAAATCTGTAATGCAGAGGTGGGATCTAAGGGGGGTAGAAAAGTGGCCCTCAAGGATGTCCACGTCCTACTCCTCAGAACTACGAATATGCTACCTTTCATGGCAAAAGGGCTCTGCAGGTGCAATTAAGATTAAAGACCCTGAGATGAGGTGGTGATTCAGGTAGATCCAGTCTAAGTACATGCAGACCCTCTTCCGGCCACAGGGAGCCAGAGAGATGTTAGCATGAGCACGACCTGATGGCCATTGCTGGCTTTGAGCCTAGAAAAGGGGCCACGAGCCAATAAATGTGGGCAGTCTCTGGAAGCTGGAAAAAGCACAGGAAAGGATTCCTTCCTGGGGCCTCCAGAAAGAAATACAACTCTGTCAGCACTTAGAATTTAGCCTACTGTGAACTACAGAACTGCAAGTTCATTAATTGAAGCCACCAAGCGCGTGGTAATTCGTCACAGCAGCCATTGAGAAATAATACAGGCTCTCAATAGGAAACAGATGCCCCACTCAAAATGAGTGAGTTGAGGAGATTTTAATAAAGGGATTATTTGCAAAAGGCTGGGCAGGCTGTAAAAGAAATCTTGGGGCTGGCTAAGAGAAGGTGGACAAGGGGGAGGATGGTCTTGGAACCCAGAGAGAGAGGCGCCATGTGAAGGGGCTCCTAACAGGAGGCAGCTAGCCCGTGGTAGCCCTGCAGAGACCCAGCTGGGGACAAAAACGTCCCCCCTCACTATCATCCCTCCCTCAGACCTCTAGCTGGTACTTTCTCCCCACGGCCAGGCTCAGCCAGGAGATAGAGGGCAAGGGGTGCTCTGGTGCGGTCTAGAAAGGCCAGGGCCCAGGGCCAGCTGGAGACGGTGCAGAGGGCTTGCGGAGGGAAATGTGCTCAATATCCAGCAACAGAACCAATCATGGAGGGAAGGGAGCTCATCTCGCAAGAGCACTGACTAGGCTATTCCCTCTCAAACGTCTCAACTAACACATTACAGGACAGGATATGATGTATATTCCCAAACAAGATTTGTGCAGAAGATGATAACTTTTTAAGGAAAAAGGTGTACTGGAGTGCCTGGCTGGCTCAGTCAGTAGAGCATTTGACTCTTGATCTCTGGGTTGTGAGTTCAAGCCCCATATTGGGTGTAGAGACTACTTAAAAAAAAAAAAAAAGCGTATTCCTGAGTTTCATTATATGCTGACTTCAGTCTTAGAAAGCTTAACCTATGACTTGGTCAACTTCCCTATGCAGCCATGAAATGGGTGTCAGCAGCTGTGAAGTTTGGAGTTCCTTTAAACATGCTTATTTCCTTTCAGCAAGGCTCTAGCAGTGAGTAAAAGGCCATAAATAAATTATAATAAATACAGGGTGGAAAACACCAAACTTTCAAACTGGAACTGAGGCCCTCTCAAGATGTCCAAAAACCACAGCACAAAGCAGCTGGCCCTGGGCACCCCTCGCCCACTCACTCTGGACTTTGGAAAAGCAAGAGATGTGGCTTTCCAGCATGAGGCTCTGGTTATTTGCAAAGGAAGGTGTCCAAACTCCTCTGCCTTTTGTCCCTAGGCCTGATGTGTCATCAGGGATGCCAGACAGCAGGTATGTGCAAGAAGTAAGAAATCACAAAAACAACTTCTCAACAGTTGAAGCCATTACCAACTGATCCATTAAGAGAAGTCCATATTTACTTTCGCATTATAGCATTGAATAAGGACACTAAAACCTCAGCCAAGTCTGCATTTTTTAGAAAGAAGTGACATGGATTATATTAGTATCTCTTCCTAACCTATTTCAACGCGGAACCCTGGGAAATAAAAGTCCTTGTGGTTAAAATACTGGGATTCATGGTATGTTTCAGACTGGTATAGTTTACTCTGAAAACCTATAAGCTCAAGTATTTGGTTAAAAAAAAAAACAACCCTACGCTTCCCCTACTTCCCCACTCCTCCCTGTGACTCTGTCAAAAACCTCAAGGGGGCTGTGGTATAGGTTTTCAGAGGTCACTGACAGCTTCTCTGTTACTGTTCCCAGGGAACTTATCCTTAAGAAGCATTTACGAAAGATGATGAAACAAATTCTGAACACACAGGAGGTCACATTACCTGGGAATGCAAACCACTCCCAAAGAGATCTTTGCTTTTGGAGAGAAATTTCCAGAACCTGAAAGTGCTTTTGGAACCCCTCCGGGTCCCACCCGCTGCTGTATTGCTCCCCTTCCCCCCTGCAGGCTCTTGTCAGACTGCCTCAACCAGCTTTGTCGGCTACCCAGGGTATAGGGAACAGTGCAGGGCAAAGCCATGACATCAGGAGTTTGCTCCAGCTCACTCATGGCCCTTCTTATGTCACTGGGTCCAGGAAGTCCTTATTCACAACAAGTTCCTTTAAAAATGAAACAGTGTCAGGACCATGGAGGAGAAGAAGGGGAGAAATAGTGGGGGAGAGGGAGGTAAACCATGAGAGACTCTTGAATACTGAGAACAAACAGAGGGCTGATGGAGGTGGGGGGGAGGGGAAGGGGGTGATGGGCATGGAGAAGGGCATTTGTGGGGATGAGCACTGGGTGTTATATGGAGACCAATTTGACAATAAACTATTTTTAAAAATTTACCAAAATAAAAAGTAAAAAAAAAAATGAAATAACGTCAGGGCGCCTGGGTGGCTCAGTTGGTTAAGCATCCAACTTCAGCTCAGGTCATGATCTCCCAGTGTGTGAGTTCGAGCCCTGCATCAGGATCTGTTCTGGCAGCTCATAGCCTGGAGTCTGCTTCTGATTCTGTGTCTCCCTCTCTCTCTGCCCCTCCCCTGCTTGCCCTTTGTCTCTCTCCCTTTCTCAAAAATAATAAACATTAAAAAAATTAAAAATAAAAAGAAATAATGTCAAGGGCAGGAGAACAGCTACCCCACACCTCTCTCCTAGAGCAGCCCCATCACTGGACAACCCTGTCCACATTGGGCAGTGCTGCTCAGATGTGTGCTTGCTGCTGCCCTTGTGACCACACGGTGCCTTAAATAAAAGTGCTGTAGCACACTCGTGAAGAGGCAGGCTCTGGAGCCACTGGGCTTCAGTTCAAATCCAACTAAAAAAGCTGAGTAAACCTGGGATTTTTCTTAGACTTCTGGGCTTCCCTTTTTCCACTATAATACAAAGATAATAAATAGTATCTACCTAACAGGGTGCTATGAGGATGGGCGATTTTAATGCATGGAAATATTTAGCACAGTGCCTGGCAACAATAATCAATAAGTGTTGGCTGCTAAAATCGTTGCCATCATCATCATCATCATCATTATTATAATTCTCTTCACTGCTCCTCTCCATCTTCCTAACCTTATTATTTTCTCATGAACTGCACACTTTACTCCAGGCACTAAGAAGCCTTACCCACCCAAGTAAAGCATATTCATTCTCATCTCTGGTCACCACCCTTCCTCCACCTGCAATATCCATCCATTATCCAAATGTTGTCTACTTTTCAATGTCCGGCTCCCCGATGGACCCTGCAGAGGTATCTCCTGGCCAAGCCAACTATAAGGACTGTGCCTCTCTGAAATCTGTGTGGTATTTGGAGATGCCAATCAGCACAGCCCTACCCATTCAGATCATGTGGGTAGACTTTCTATCTCCTCCTCTCCTCCTTTTTTGATGTATCTCATACACCTACCTTCTCAGAGCCCAGCCCACAGAGCCCTGAATCTATGCCCTCAAACTCTTCCCAGCTCAACAATAAACATCAGGAGCAGATTGGGTTGCAGGTTGCATGCAGGTTTTGCTAGATTTAGCAGCTAGCAAATTGCAATGAATTTAAATTCTCACTTCAAAAGGTCTGTTATTTGCACTAGCCAATCCTTTTGGCTCTGCATTCTCCAGGTAACAGCTTCAGCCCCCTGTGCCAGAACCCACACCAGGGCAGAGAAAAGACCTAGTCATAGTAGGCTAACACTGACCATTCTTCTTTAGCCAGCAAAGGCTTGCTGTGGCTTCCAAAAGTTCGTGCACATGGCACGTTGGTACTCACCAGTCAGCAATGCATCCAGTTATTAGGTAGCCAAAGATTAATCCAACCAGTAAGGAGAACTTAGCGATATGGACCTTCCAGGCATTATCACACACAAGATCCCACTAGAGAGGGGCAAATAGAAAATAAATCAGAGAGAAACATATACAGATGCCAGTTGTAGTTAATCATAAGGGCAATATAACAACTACAGTAAGGATTGTGACAGCACCAAGTCACATATACCATGAAGATTCCCTGCCATGTGTTTGAAAATGCAACAAGAAATAGAATTTGCCCACAAAAGGCAGAGTAATGTTTTAGTCCAGGACAGACCATAAAAGTCTGCAGGAAGCATCCCATGAAACATGGGGGCATGTGCTCTTCTGTCCCAGCTACTTGGGGACGTAACCTGAGGAAGAGGAAGCAGCCCAGGAGGCTGGGAAGTCCTCACTGCCAGCACCCCTTCTCACCCACAGAGCTGTCACATGCCCAGGGAGGGATGGCCCTGTTAGTTTTTTGCAAGGGGTCTCACAACATGAGAAAATTAAAAGCAACTTTTGTGTTTCCTCCCTCCAAACCTCCCCCACACTTTGTAAGCAGTCTTAAAAATATTTAACAGTTAATGCTGAAATATCAACTAACAAAACAGTCTCAGGTTTTCCCTTGTAAGTCTCTGTGCTTTCCCTTATTCCACTCTAAGGCTACCTGCTTCACTTGGAAACAAAGGCCAATAAATTGGTAAATACAGCATTCAGACGCTTTTTACAATTCAGTTTTATTATTTAATAAAAAAATAAAACAAGTCTCCAAAGTTTTTGATGTCGTTTTGCAGAAGCAGGAGAGAAGACCATGTTTGTTCCCTGGAGGTGACATGTGTCCAAGTGGAAGACCTGTGAGGACACAGTGCTCAAATCCACAAACATCTGGGCCCCAGGAGCAAACTGCAGGGTCTCTGCTGGTGACGCTATGAAGGCTGCTGCCCCCACCCCACATCGCCCCATTGATGTCCTCCTTCTGGTGCAAACAAGCGGCTAAAGAACTTCAGGTCAGTGGAGAGATACACAACGAGGCAGGGGAGTTGGAAATGTTAGAAATACTGGAAGCTGAAACAGGATTGGTTGGGGTGAAACCGATCTCAGTTCTGTGTTACTCAGTACCTCCCAGGGCCCCTTTTTCTGTCCACCTTGAGACCCAGATGGCAAGTTCTGGTCTTGCCCCCTGTTTCTAAACTTCTGGAAAGCCTGATGGAGCCTCCCTGGGAACTCTTAGCTGTCAGTCTCGACTTCAACAGGCTTTGGGAAAAGCCAAGCTTCTGTACCTCTCATTGCAGAGTATAGCACCGGGCCTAGCAAAGCAGGAAGGCAGCTGCCTGTCACACTGCTCCTTGGACTCTTTGGGACACACATTTATTCATTCATGCCCCCAAGGCATGTTCAACTTTCCAGAGACCTGGGGAGAATAACTTTCTCCTCTTCCCCATCTGCTTGCAGAGTGATGTCCAAAGCCAGGCTCAGGAAGAAAGGGAATGTAAACACAGACCACACAGGGCGGTCAACAATGGATGGTTTGTGCTTGGTTCTTGTTGGGATTTATTCAGGTGTTTGAGGGTGGGGCCCTGCTGCTTGCACAGAATCTCATTATTGAGAATTCAGATACATTAGGGAGCGAATTTCCTCCTGCGTCTACTCCAGTGGTCCTCAAAATGTGCTCCAGTGACTAGCAGCCTTAGCATCACATGTTGGAAATAAAAATTCTTGGCCCCACCCCAGACCCACTGAATGAGAACTCTTGGAGTGAAGCACAGAAGCATAGTTTACAAGCCTCCCTGGCAATTCTGATGCCTGCTCAAGTCTGAGAACAGGGGTCAGCCTGGCCCTACCATTTCACTGTCATTGTGAGGTTGTTGAATGAGCTTCGAGGTCTGGAGCGGAGGTTTAATCAGCTCACCAAGGGCAGGATGCAGCCAAAAACTGCATGAAACACATATGGCTATTCTCTTGTACTGCAATTGAAGGAATGTAAAATTAGATTTAAGTGGGCTTTTTGGAGGCAAGTCTGGAAAATCAACATTCCTGTATATATTGTTTCTAGGAGTAAATATATTAAAAATTTTTAATGTTTTATTAATTATTTTTGAGAGAGAGAAAGTGTACACAAGTGGGGGAGGGGCAGACAGAGAGGGAGACACAGAATCTGAAGCAGGCTCCAGGCTCTGAGCTGTCAGGGCAGAGCCCGACATGGGGCTCGAACTCATGAACTATAGGATCATGACCTGAGCCGAAGTTGGACATTTAATTGACTGAGCCACCCAGGTGCCCCTGGGGTAAATATATATTTTAATAATAAATATCTTTCAAGGTACAAGCCATCTTCAGAAATAGAGGTTCTGCTTTATAATGTGAGTTACGGCATCATAACCATGTGTGTATATTCAGTTTCCCCTGCTAGGTTTATACCTTCTGAAACCATTTCTGAATTGTTTTCTCTCCTCTCTGCCGGGGCAGACCCTGCCCACAGAGTAATTGATTCCAAGACTAAGAGCTATATCTATAAGCACTCCTGGCCAATTTGAAGAGGAGGTGTCTACAACACCTGAAATCATTAATACCCCAATCATGTCACATCATCCTGCGCCGCAGTCTGGCACATTCTTGGCAGGAGAGTGTCCTGGTCCTAGGCTGCTGCTGAGGAGGAGGGCACCAGCTGCTAGCTCTGTGGCAGAGAACCACTCACTTGTCTCCACCCAGACTTTCCATTGATGAGTTTATTTGAGGTTAAGTGATGCAGAAGAGCACATTATGCTTATATTAGGTGGCCAGGAGACAAAAGAAATTTTAATAAAAGCATTCAGGGCCAACCCCAACACTGTTGTAAGCTCAGCCACCTGTGTTATAATGGTACCCGGCCAGGGGCTGCCACAACCCCATTCAGTTGCTACCTTGTAAGGCTTTCCATGGTTACCTAACACAACTTGTCTCCATGAACAATGCTGGAATGAAGGAAAACACAGTTGAGAGGGACAGAACTGCTCACACTGCCAGTAAGGAAAGGAAGCCTGCCTAGAAGTATCTGCAAGCATGGCTATTCTCAGCCTGGGGTAGGGAGTCAGGGAACCAGCTGGTGCCTTGACCCCCTCAATTAGGCACAAGACTAAACAACTTCTCAGAGTCAACAAGCAAACTGGCTCCAGGCTCCCCAAGATCAGGTTCCTTGTGCTGGGGGATCTGTCTGTAATATCACCCCTGAGGCACATTCCAGAAGCTGGGTAGGGTAAGGCTGGGGGAAGCTGTGGAGATGGCATTCCTTTGTTTGACTTCTACTTCTGGGATCGACAAAAGTGAACTAGAAGACAAAATATGTTCAGACACAGTAATATCTCCAAAAGAATTTTAGAAGTATGAGGAATCTCTGAGATCACCTTGCTCTTGAAATTTGTTCGCACCAACTCTTGATAAGATATAGCAATTGGTCATTTTGCTAAGCAAGGACTAAAAGATTTTTAAAAATCTAAATGTATACAGCACCTGGGTGGCTCAGTTGGTTGAGCATCTGGCCCTTGGTTTCAGCTCAGGTCATGATTTCATGGTTCTGTGAGTTCGAGTCCTGTGTTGGGCTTTGAGCTGATGCGTTGATGATACACAACCTGCTTGGGATTCTCTCTCTCTCTCTCTCTCTCTCTCAAAATAAACAAACTTTAAAAAAGAGCCTAAAATGTACAAAACCAAGACTATGAGTTTTGTCTCTGACATTAGTCTCTCCACCCTTCATATGCCATCAAAACAATCACCAAATCCAGAGGATTCTCCCTTTCAAACATATCCTGCACCCATCCCCCGCACTCTGTCTTCACTATGGGCAACCTGACTTATCCGGACTTGGTAGGGATGCACTCATCATTCTGGTGCGTGCTCCTGCAATGTGAGCTGGGAGGCTAAAAACACACCACTTCCAGACTCCCTTCCAGCTAAGGTTTCGAATGTGATTTCGGTTCTGTCAATCAGCTGCACACCCCAAAATAACTTCCAGTACACAACCTAGATCTCATTTTTGGGATGACTTGCATTAGGAAAAGTGCACAGTGGGGAATAAGTGGGACATCCATTTTGTTCAGATCTGGAAGTGCTTGGTCTGGAGGTGGCTCCGGTGTAATCATGAGCCAGCCGTCGGACAGTAACCTCCTCATTCTTTAGTCTCCTCATTGGGCAGGCCAGTTCTAGAGAATTGTTCGAGGAAACCTTCTGGAGGCCCAGCCGACAGCTGCTCCTGCAATTTAGTGAGCAGTGTTTCCCTGTATTGGATCCCTATCTCCTTAAACACCTAGAGTAGTTTCTGTTATCTGCAAATTGAACCAGAGAACGTGATTAAACTTCCTTGGGATGGAGTCTGCAGGGTGAGAGTAGGATGTAAGCCATGTCACCATCCTCCCTTCCTGAACTAATACAAGTGTCTCCATGCATTTCCTCTGGCCTCCCTCAAATCCATTCCCTACAGAACAATGAAAACAATCCTTTAATTAAGCATGTTAACACTTCATCAGCAGGTTTAACACAACCATAAAAGTGTTAAAAGTCATAGCCCCATTTCATAATTTTAGGCTTGCTTTCTTTGCCATTGTTCAGAGACCAGGGACATTCTATGGTGATGCCACATGATGCTTGCCAGCCATGACTAAATGGTGAGACAGCTGACCCTAAAAAGTTTTTAGTTCTCAATTTTAGCTGCACACGTTCTGTTTGGAAAAAAAAAAAAAAAAAAGACAGAGGTTGTGGAAAATCAGGCAGACTATTTTTCTATCTATATATTTTAAGGATAAGCTAAGAGAAAAGAAATCAAATTTACATTATTTTCAAAGGAATTATCTAATTGCTTGACTTGCCAGAGTAGAAAAATGTTCATCAAGGAAACTAATGAAATTACTAAAGAAGATGCAAAATAAATGGGAGATAAGCAAAACAATCTTATTTTCAGTAAAAATAAATCCTATGGTAAATGTAAAACCAGAATATGAAAATATTGGAAGAAAACAGATTACTTATTCAATTTTGAAGTGGAGATGAAATCCCTAAAGATAAAAATTAAGGGAGGAAAAACTACCTAAGAAAAAACTGATAGACTTTATAAC